ATGGATGGATGTTTGTCATTGTGGCTCAGCGGTTTATCAGCAGGACCACATTTTTATATTGATGTAGAAATACAAAGTTACACTTTGTGCACTGACAGTCTGACACAGTGTTTCCCTCAGTTGACTGGAGAGATTATGCATGAATCTGTGAAATAAATCTATAAATGGTAAATGGTCTGCACTTACAGAGCTCGTGTCAACCTCAGTGGTACTCACAGTGCTTTACAATGTGTTTTTCATTCCTGCATTCAAACACACATTCACACACCAGTGGAGACAGAGCTGCCATCAGGAGCAACTTGGGGTTCAGTGTCTTGCACGAGGACACTTAGACATGTGGAGGGGACTAAACCACCAACCTCAGCCACGGTCGCCCACAAACGTTGGAGGTAAATGTTCATTCGATTTTCTTAAAAAGGTGACTCCAGAGATTTAACGCGCAAACGTCAGGGCACTGTTGTAGCTGTAAGTACCAAGATGACTTTCAGTTTATTGTGAATTCTTTAACAACAGTCCTGTTGTCTTGTCTGTTATTTATTACTCATATAAGGTAAGTTAAACTGTAGCGTTTTAGGATGTACTAGGTAATGTGAAGAAAGCACACTGATGGCATGATTCACATCTTAGGCTACATCTGCACTCATATGGTTTCATCATAACAGGTTGTTTTCAGCACTCTCTGTCCAGATGAGCATTTAAACACACCAACACAAATGATCTCAGTGCGTACTAACACGCCAAACACGAACACACGACTAAATAACACCAGCCTTGATGCTTTATCGTACTTTGGCGTGGACGTGCTCATAGTACTGCTTTTGTAGTCTGTGGGAGTCCATGTGGTAAACTACAGTCCTCCTCAAATGTATTCATACCCTTCCATTAAAGAAAAGGCAAAATTCACAATAGTCACTCAAATAACTAGAAACTGAAAAAAATAATAAATAAAAATTTGCTAAATTATAATTTAGTCAAATAAGACATTACTTTTGAATTGTGGTTAAAAAGAACAATTTTTAAAAAACAAACAAAACTGTCATGGACAAATTAGAGCACTTTGCTGGTGAGCAGTGGGTCAAAATTTAAATACCTGTCAACAGGTGCAGAAGTCTGATGGAGAGTTACAGAAAACACTTGATTGCAGTGATTGGCTCAAAGGGTTGTTCAATAAAATATTAGTTCACAGGTCCCACCGTGCTTGTTTGGTTGTTTTGTTTTTTGTTTGTTTTGTTTTTCATTTCTGTTGAAGCACAATTCAAAAGTAATGTCATGATTTTCATGAAATTTTTATTTATGATTACTTTTGTCATTTTCAAGTTATTTCAGTGACAGCTGTTTTTTTCCTTCTTTAATGGGAGGGTATGAAGACATTTGACGACTGTACATGTGGATGTGTGTGAAGAGGTGTTCTTAAATAAATCATGTGTATATAATCTGTAAATAATATCCATCCATCCATTATCTATACACTGCTTAATCCTATCCCAGCTGACTTAGGGTGAAGGCAGGGGACACCCTGGACAGGTCACCAGTCTATCACAGGGCTACACTTAGAGACAGACAACCAAGCACACTCACATTCACACCTACAGACAATTTAGAATCACCAATTAACCTCAACATGTTTTTGGACTGTGTGGGAGGAAGTCGGAGAACCCGGAGAGAACCCACGCTGCACGGGGAGAACATGCAAACTCCACGCAGAAAGATTCCGGTGCCCCCACCGGGACGCGAACCGGCAACCAACTGCGCCACCCTGCAGCCCTGTAAATAATATTCAGTTATTAAATGAGTAATCTGTATATAACCTGTGAATAATTGGGACTGAGCTTGATTAAGTTTTGTTATGCAACAGCATTAATCAAATCCTTTGTCTTTGCATCATCGGTCTGGAAATAACAAAGTGTGTATGGCATTGTTTGTTTTCCATCTTTCAGCCCTGGCTGCAGATTCATAAGCAATTTCCTCTCTGGACTCGGTGCTAATGAGCTGGGAGGAAAATAGAGGTCAGATATCCGCAGTGAGTTCAGGCATTTAGCTCAGAAGTGGAGCAGACCTCTGTGTGGCTGATTCTGTCCTGAAGGATAACACGGGCACGTGTCGGTGCTGTGTAGGAACACCTGCATAAATAGACATTTATTCCACAGTTTCAGTTCTGTTCTCCTACCAGAAACTAGACCGTCATAAACGTGTGTCTCGTTTCTATTCATAATTAACCTCCTCTGCTGCAGTCTGATCACATATTCTGTGACAGCGTTCACCTCCGTAGATTAGAACACAGTGCAGCTAGAAGACATGCAGAGGCGATGTGATGAAGGGAGGAGTCCTTTTGTTTTCAGCTGCAGCCACTCCAAGTCTTCAGGAAACTGAATTCAACGAAACAGAAAACAGCACCTCTTAAGCCTTTATTCTCTGGAATGTGATTGATCCTGTCAGTGTGACCACAGCAGGGCCCCTTCTTCAACTTGTTGCTGTTTTTAATGTCTCTTGCTTTTCCTCGTTATATTTCAGAATTTAATAATATTGTCATGATGTTTTCTGATTCTAAACTACAAATGGCCTGCCCATCTTTGCACAAGGTCTGCCGTAGTAAATATTTTCAGCTGTTGCCTTGACTGTTAAACCAGGATGAGATGCTGTATGACTGGATTCTAAACCAAACTTTGACTAAATAGCTCTAATGAGGATGAGAGGAGAGGTAGCGTTGGGAACCAACCTGTAGAGATGACACACTAACCATGAAGGAGTGGTTTAGTCTGACGTCTGTGGGCAGAGTCAAGTTCAAACAATGAGATAAAAAAGAACAAATCGTTTGAGCTTCCTTCATAATAAAAGTTGTGTTAACTTTTTTTTTTTTTTTTTTAATCCTGTAAAGTAGATGATGAAAGAAATTAAGGCTGCAACTAATGGCCATTTCCATAATAGATGAAGCTGCTTATTAGTTTCTCAGATAATTATAGTTAGTTATAATACTCACAGCACAATGGTTTTATGTTTGTGTTTTGCCTGACAGTCCAGAATCCAAAGATATTACGCTGCTACACAACAGGACCAAATCCTCACATTTTAAATTATGATTATTACATTTTTCTTAATTAATCAATCGTTTTAGATGGAAGAAAACAAAAACTGACACCCTATGGAGCAGTGCTGGGTTAGCAGCTTCATAAATGTGAATATTTTATTTCTTTCCTCCTCTACAACATAAATGAATATCTTTGGGTTATGGGTGGAAAAAGACAATTGAGGATGTTTCTAACCATTACTGGCAGCCCTGTTTACAGGGCAGGAACTAAGAACAGATTACTAACCACAGTGATTTTCAGGTTAGAGCTGGGTAAAGTGTGTCAAGCATCTTTTTGTTGAATGTGTTTTTCAGCATGCAAACTCCATTTATGTAGACAAAGCACTTTTTCAAAACAAATATTACAACATTTTTTACAGAGAACCAAAAGGGAAACTGTAGAGTAATAAAATCTGAATACAGTTGCAACCATTATATTGATAAAAATGTGGAACTTCAAGCCGAAGAAACGTGACATTTGATTTAGTACGGTGGCTCCCAGAAATAGTCTTGTTCTGTGTGTGCATTAACACGGCACACCAAAAATATTTAAAAGTCAGAAGCTCCTTGAAATCATTAACTACATAAAAGAAAATTTTAAAAAAATATTTTATGTATGAAGGTGTATTTTTCAATTATGCATTTTTGTTTGTTCGGTCAGCTATTTTATTTTGAAGGCGGTGGCCGGATCTTGATCGCCTAACGGTGTCTGACTTAACACCGAGGCTTTGAACACGCAGGAGGTCGTTAACAGGCTGCGAGCTCAAACCCGCGGCAGATTTCCACGCAGAGTGTCTGTGGCTGAACTTCCTCAGTGTTGGGACTTTGTGCGGCTCCAGACTGAGCTGCTCTCGGCTCGTTTCGCACTTTCCAGCACATGACAGCGCTGTCAGCGGGACTCCATGCTGTCTCTGACAACTTTCTCTGCAGCTGCTGCTTCTGCCGCAACAGGTAGGAATACTCTTATGTTTTGTGACACAGCTGATCAGCAGTGAAGCGTTGAGCTGCGGCTCTGCAGAGACAGTCCAGGCTGTGTCTCCGATCTGCTGCTGCAGGTCACTGGTGTGGGCTCCCAGCTGAAGGCCTGTAACTGCGTGGATCTGAGCTCAGATGAGAGCTGGCCTGTAACAGGTGGCTCAGTGAACTCCTCCAGCAAGGAGTCACTGCACAGCTGACACATTATGACAGGAGGCACGGGGATATAGTTCAAAAAATCATTTCTAGATCTCAGCTGGATGGAATCTGCATTTGGAGAGCTTCTGGAAGAGTTTGAAGTTGGATAAAAAAAAAAAATGTGTGGAAAAGTGCAACTCGATCATGAAGAGCTCTGCAGGTTCACTGTGTTATTTACTGACTGAATGCCTTTGATCACAGGTACCTGCTTCAACATTTGTTCTGGCTCTACAAGTTAACAGATCTCTTATCATACATCTGTGGTTCTCTCGTCTAATAATGGCTCTTTAGTGCAGTTTGTGCTTCAGGGTCTGATATTTAAACAAGTGTAACGTGGACAGCAGCCCACTTCAAAAAGCACTCATCACTGTGCAAACAGACAGCTGCTATCAGCTGCTCTCCTACAAACACACTCACACAACACTTTCCTTTCTCACTTCCAGCGGTGCACCTCGGTCCAGATTCACCTGATCAACTCACCGATACGGTTATTTGCAAATGATCGAGTGAAACAATACATCTGGGTGCCAGTCCATGAATTACACTACAGATAACAGAAAAGGCACATTTGTCAAATAGTGCTCAGTTTTTCAACATGAACTTGATTTTGGTGCAGTTTTAAAGGCTGTTTATCTGTTTGCACAAAGAGATGTTAGGATTTGATGATTATTTGATTGGCAGAAAATTAATTTTGGCAGTTAATAGTCATT